GGGGGGTGTGGGCGCCCCCCTCCGCGGGGCGGGCCGTGACCAGCCTTCCCCAACACATCTGCAGCCCAGAGCTTCCCTAGCTCCACCTCGGAGCGGGCTCGTCCTCGCGCACGGAGGAGACCATGGGAGGTTCGGCTCGGGAGAGCTCGGAGGACTGCCGATTTCTGGACGTAAGTTGGTGGCTCGCTTTGCCACCGTGCAGCTCCAATGCCTGAGATGCCCGTGCACTCGTCCCTCCCGGAGCCAGCAGACCTCTGGCTATCGCTGTTTTCTCATTCATTAGGCAGAAGCATCCAAGGCGCAGAAGAAAACCTGCACCAGATACCAGCTCTGCGGACTGCTCCTCAGCGTCCTGCTCGTTTCTCTTATTCTGATATTTTTTGGTGTCAAGTATCTCTGGAACCCAACACCCAGAAAAGTAAGTAAAAACTCTCTGATCTGGCATTTCTGGGCGCTGCTTGCCCAGGCAGAGTTGTGCCCCCCTACACCCTACTGAAACTTTTAACTACAACCCAAAACCCAGGCAACTTTACAAAATGCGTTTTCTTAGACCACAAGTATTCATGAGACTTTTAAAAATCTTTGTATTATTCATAACTAGCTTTTACTTCATACAGGCTGGTTTTTTTCTCTCTGTCACCACATTCTTTCTTTAACTGACAATTACAGGGGATGGGAGCTACTCCACGAAGAGTTAAAGTTACTCTTATTTCACCAGCAGCAAATTTTATGACAAGTAAGAAAATATTTTCCATTTCATTTCAATTATCTTGCCAGAAACTGGTGGAAAAGTCATTATGCCACCGCATAAAGAGGAGAGAAAGCCAGGACGCAGTGGTGATTGATTGTCATGGATTATATTTCTTATTTTAATGTGTCTGCAATGTGAGGGGACGGTGAGACGGATTAGCTTTTGGAGGAGCTCCTGCTAACGGGATTGGGCTCATTTATTCCCAGCTCCTCAGACAGACGCTGCTCTAAGTGCTGAGGGTGCCGGGGGTGGCGGCAGGGCTGCGCATCTCCCATACATCTCTGCCCACAGCTGCCCAGCTTCTTGGCAGCTCTACCAAAATCCTATATTTTTATCCCATACCCCAAGCAAATCACTTAACCTTGAAGCCAACAGCCTGCCCAGTGCTCCTCGTCCTCCTCCACTTTGGGTTCCCGCGCTCATCCAGGCGCCCTCGCTTTGCATCCTGGCGCCGGTGGGTTTTGCCGGCTCTCAAGAGCATTTCCAAAATTCCCGTGAGCAGCTATGGCAGCTTCTTTCCCACGGTGGCATCTCTCCTATACTCCCTGCCTCATGCCGGAGCTACACTAGTCCTGACAGGCTGCCCTCCTGCCAGGCAGAGGAAGCACCCTGCTCAGCAGAAATTTGGTCTTCTTATCAGCAAATAGAAATGAAACCCCCCAAAAAGAAAAGAAAAACCAATAAAAGCCATATGTGCCTCCAGGCTCCTGCCAAGACAGTTATAAAGTCTCTACTGTTCCTCAAAAAGCAGGGTTCGTGCCAGCCATGGGGGGAAGAGGCTGTTAACCCCTGAGAGGAGGTTTCCTCTAAGCCAGCAGCACAGAGCCATTGCTGCAGCCTCAGGAAGGTTATACTAGGACGGGCAGGCAAGCAAAGCCCATGGTGACAGGAGAGTGAAGATGTTCCTGCAGTGGAGCTGCACGTTGATGCTCCTGGTGTCCAGTATCTCCACGTTCTCTGCAGCCGTGGGGCAGCAGCTTCTCCAGCTGGCCCAGGAGCCCTCCAGCAAAAGCAGGACGTGGGAGGCTGGAAGTTCCTAAGGCTCGAAAATATAAAGGGGAATTAAACCCTTTAAAGAACAAAAAACCCTTTGAGCTTCCTTCATGCAACCAAAGAGCGGAAAAAAATCTTTAAAGAAGACTTGTTCCTCTGGGGGGTGGCCTTGGGCATGGCCCTGCCCTCCGCACGGCAGCGGGGCGGAGGCGATGAGTCAGCTAACGAGGGGCTCGTCGCGCCCTCGGAGGGGGACGTATTTCAACGAGTCGTGAGCAAGTGTCATTTCTAGCCCTATAAAACATCTCACAGCTCTCGGAGCCGGCAAAGCCCAAATGGATTAGCTGGCCACTGCACTGGAAAAAGTAATTCTTCGTAAATGGAGAGGCACTCAAAGGTAAGGTGCCACCCGGGATCCTGCACTCCTAGAAATGATTTATGGCACCGTGTGCATTTTGTCAGTCAAAACCAGTGGCCTTCCAGCCATTTTAGGCTTTAGACTATTTTTACCATACCGTAAAATCCATCGACAGCTATATATCTTTATAAGAGCCTCCTGCTGACTAGCAGGAGATGCTCATGGCTGCCAAGGTGCACATTGCTCTTCTAACTTTTAAGCAGGGGTAAAGGGACCTGGCAGTCACCGCCTGCATAGCCAGTTCTGTGCCCAGGTTTCCCCCAGTTGCTGTAAAACAGGGATGCTGGTGCTGAAAACATTGCTAAGAGGCTTTGAACTCTGGTACGGAGGGATGTGCAAGAACCAGGGGACTGTGAAAGGGGGATTAGGCGGACACTGAAGGCAGAGCCCGTGCCCCTCGCTGGGGCACTGCTGCAAGGACAGGGTGCTCCTTCCCCAGCCCCACAGCCACGCCAGGGGACAAAGAGGGCTTTCCCATCCCCATGCCCCCACCACTCCCCTCTGCCTTGTGGACTTGAGAGGTTTTGCACAAGCCCTTTGCTTCCACACGACACCGTTTGATTTGGGAAATGAGACTCCCCAAGGCTCGCTGGCTCTCGCCGCGCCAGCAGCATCACTTCTGTGCTTCCAAGAGCATCTGCCACTACTCGTCCTTCGAGGGTCAGGCATCCGCAGAGGCTGAGGGGCTGCCGGGCTGGCTGAGCATGGGGAGCACCTGCCAGGAGGAGAAGGCTGCTCATCCCCACTCCCCACAGGGACGAGTGCCACCAGGAAGCTCTGCTACGCCCCGAAGCTCTTCAGCAGCCCTCAAGGAGGTCTTTAATCCACAGGCAATCCCTGATCTCCTCCAGGCAGAGAGAGGCTTTTACCTCTGCCTTTGCTGGAAAAACAGAAGGCACGGAGATGGAGCAAGTGAGCCAGGAATGAGAGAATCACAGAGTCACGGGATGGTGGCAATAATGACACCACGGAAGAAGCAAACTGGGGACACAATGATTAAGCAACAAAACCAGGGAGCAAGAAAGATGGGATGCAGTGATGGAGCAAGCAAGCCATGGGTAGAATGGCAGAGCAAGGAAGCCAAAGAGAAGGGAAGGCAAAGTCCCTTGGGCTCAGGACCTCAGTCCAGCCTGGGACACAAACAGGCTCATGCCACAGAAATAACTGGCAAAGGTAGAGCTATGGCAAAGGTCCTGGAGCAAGTATGGGATGAGCAACTTGTCCCAGGCTTGACACACGTTCCCCCACAGCCTGGCCCCATCCTGCCCTTCTTCCCAGCCCCAGTGCCTGGGAGCTGGCTCTCCTTGCACTATCCAGATGCTCATCCTGGCCCAGAGCTGGGGCACGAGGAAGCATCTGTGCCCTGTGGCAGGGTCCCCAGCGTCAGTGGTCAGGCACCCAGCACCATCCTCCTCATCCGCTGCTCAGCATGTGAAATCAGGTGGGAACTGAGCCAGCCCCTCTGTGGTTTTGGCCCTCACAGGTTTATGACATGGAACACACCTTCTTCAGCCATGGTGAGAAGAAGAAGATTGTGATGGAGATTGACCCACTGGCCAGGACAGAAACCTTCAGGAGCGGGAATGGCAGTGAGGAAATCTTGGAGATCCATGACTTCAAAAATGTGAGTAGAGCAGGAACCTGCCTGTGATCTTGCAGCAGGACCAGTAGAATCCCTCAGGACACCGTGAGCTCCAGGACAATTTGCTTCTGCATCAGGGAGAGTGATGCCCAGATGCAGAGTCTCTAGGGATGCTCTCAGAGGAAAGGAGATGTGTATCTACCTAAGCTTCCACCAGTATTTAATAGTGGTGCCATTCAGTTCCAACGAAATACATCTTACAGGCAAGACCTAGTTATTGGATTTACCCTTGCAAAAGAATGCAATCATCATAAATCTACCCGAGCCCAGTACATTTGTCTGTCTGGAGAGCATTAAAACCTCATGACAATGTTGTAGGCTCTCTCTGAAACCTAATTAAAATTTGTAGGGAAATACCCTGTGCAGTGACATATGGCAAAATTTTCAGCTAATAGCCTAGCAGGAACTGAGGGCTGAATGTTCATATAACCATAACGGTCAGATGCTATTCTGCATACTTTTATTTATGATAACCAGAGCTTGTGATAGGAGAAGGGGAGCAAAGTAAAATGTTATGACTATCTGCCTTCAAATATTTGTAAAAAGCTCAATTCTCCCAAACCATAAAATACAATATCCCTTAGGAGAACCTGTTAGTACATCTTGGCGCTGCCTCTGAACAGAGTTTGCACAAAAACATCAGTGGGAAAAACATGACTAAACCCTCAGCCAGCTGTACCCTCCATACAATGTGGTTACTTATCCCCTTTGCTTTGCCCTGACTGCTTTTTTTGGTGTTTGCCTTGATGCTGTAGGGAATAACTGGCATCTTCTTTGTGGGACTTCAAAAATGCTTCATCAAAACTCAGACTAAAGTCCTCCCTGAGACGACAGAGGCCAAAATCCCTGAGCTTGAGGTAAGTGAATAAAACGGGACACCCCTCAGCCCCTGGTGGAACCCACTCCTCTCCCAGGCATCAGGAGGGTGGCCACCGTCCCCACCGCGCTGCCATCTGCTCCAGCCTTCCCAGAAGTGCCACTATACAGAAATAATGAGTTGTGATCACTTCATAAAATGATCTTATTTCAGAGGATTGCTTCTAAAAACAAGTGGAAAGAAACGGGATTAGACAGCCAGCAGACAAAAACCTCTCGGCACAATACTGGAGATCAAGAACAATAATCCTGTTGTAGTCGAAAGGTCGCAAGGCAGCTCAGGATTAGCAGACACCAAAAAGTCAATCAAATTGTTTTCTCCAAGAACTGAGCCTCATGTTCTGAAGCAGAATGAGGCAGAAGTAATGAATTTAAAAGAGCAGCTGCGTTTAAGAAATGCAATTTGAGAAGCGCTTGGCGTACAGCGCTGGGAGGTGAGGAGCACCGGGCTGGGGCCACCTCCCTGTCCCGCATGGACCTTCCTCCCATCCATGTGCCCAACTGCTTCTTACCCCCCTTTACTTTCTGTCCACCACATCTTGCTGCAAGGAGTCTCATGCTTTGCATGCTGCATGCAAAAAAAAAGTGTCTGACTCCATATTTTAACCCCTCTCTGAAAGCGTCAGTCCCTCGAAAGCTGTTGTCCCCTGTCCCCAGCCCTGGGGCCCCAGAGGTGGCACAGCCCTCCCACCTCCCCGTTGCAAGATGAAGGGTGTTAGCAGATTGCACCCCCCCGCTAAGGATCCCGTTGCAGATAAAACACCAGCAGGACACATGTTTGAAACGAAGCGTGGGCAGAAACATTTCCCTGAATCATGACCCAAATTTCCAGACACCGATTCTTTGATTATGCTGTAAGAAGCTAATAGATCTTTTCAGCTGCTGTCGTAAAAGGGATATGACTTCTGCTTTAGCAGAACATTGCCCCGGGTAGAGAGCTGAAATGTAAAACCCAGTGAGATAGATGTAGATTTAAGCTCCAGTCATCTCTTCCCAGAGCCCGCACGCTGCCAGGTCCTTCAGGCAGCACCTCCCCAGCCCTACAAAAACAGCTCAGACTGGGTCAGGTTGTGTTGGCTCTTCCCTAAGACTTCCCAAAGCCATAAGGAAAAACTCTATAAAAGAGAAACACAACTCCAGACACCTTATGGAGAGAAAAATACCATTTGCCAGCTTTCTCTATGGGCTACCACCACCAACATACACAAGGTTGCCTTGGCAGACAGCTCAGCGCAGACTCATCCAATAATCTTTATATATCTCCCTCCCCAAGCGCCTGCCAAAACACACCGTGAACTAATGCAATGGCAGAGACATGTGGTATAAATTACAGAATACGGCCGTGCAAAGAATTTCTGTGAGGAATAAATTAAAGTGTTCAATCACAAAATCAGTAGCAGAAGGAGAGAGAAATTATGTAGTAAGAGCAAAGCGGAGAGGAGATGTTTTAATCTTGGGTTTTAAATGAGCTGGGGTGCTCCAGAAGGCTCTTCCAGATGGTAGGGACTGCACAGGAGAAGGCTCTTGAAGCATGATGAACGGAGGGAGGGGAGAGCTGGGTGGTGTTGGCTGAAAGCAGACAGGAAAGACAAGGCTCATGATGGGTCTCCCTGTGTGACGACCAGCAAGGCAATTCATGTGCACCCAGTGAGCACCATAAGCCAAAGCAGGTGAAGTCCAGCTACCCTATAGGAGGGTAGAGGTACCTCTGGGCAAGCCAAGGGAAGGGGAAGCAGTGGTGGTGGTGAGAGGGTGTCTCACCATGTGGGGGTGAAATCTTGCTCTTCTTCCAGGGAGAAGAAATCACAACAACCTACTTTGAGCAGTCTGTGGTCTGGGTGCCTGGGGAAAAGCCCATTCAGAACAAGGAGTTTCTGAAGAGCTCCAAAATCTTTGACATCTGCAGAAACGTGACCATCTACTGGATTCACCCCACTCCGATAGCAGGTACGAGGAACAATCTCCTCTCCAAAGTGCTCATGAGCATCTTCACAGGGGGCAGCTCCACCACCCACCTGTGTCCCCCTGCCACATCCCCTGCTGCAACGTGGTAGGAACCCATTTCTGCAGCCTCGTTGTACCTGTCAGACACGATGTTGGCCGTGACCACGAGAGAGCACGGCCAGTGTAAGAGCAAGGGCTGAATTTTCCTTCTGCAAAGCTCTCCTCTCTGCCAGCTTCCCGCTGCCCTGCACTTTGCAGAGTGGCCACCCTCCTCATAACAAGAGGGGAAAAAAAAACCCAACCCTTTGTACCTGCCAAGAAGCCGGCGCTGCTGGAAACTGGGACGCCTAAATCCTCCTCGCCGCGTGAACATCAGAGCGCGAGCAGACATCTGCATCTAAATCTCACCACGGGGCTGCCACCTCCAGCTGCTCGCTACACGGTCCTCGCAGAGGTTGTGGCCTCTGAGATCTGCTGCTGTAATTACCCGCTGTCTCTAACCCACTTCTAGCCCAACGAGCTGCTTTAAAAACCTCTCCCAAGAAAACTCTGCTGCGCAGCCACGGGGCCGCGTCCCGTCGCCCACAGGCACTGCTCGGCTCACGGCCATCCGTGGGGCTGGGGTGGCCCCAGAGCCCCCTGATGGGGAGGGAGGCTGCTCTCCTCGGCTGCTGTCCCCCTGCTGCTTCCTCACTGCCAGACCCCATCTGCAGCTGAGCTTCAGCAGAGGACATGACAGTCACCTGAGCCGTGAGGGCTGTAGCTGGGCCCAAATCGCGTCGCTCTGCAGGGGCTCTGCAGATGTGACCCCAGCAGCAGAGCCCGCCGTGAGGCTGTGCTGCCCTGCACCCACAGCACCGTGCAGGGGGTGCTGGCACCACCCGTGGGCACCCACCACCCATGAGCATGGGGAGGGGACAGGCCGTGGCTTCTCTACCCTCTCCTCCAGCCACATGACCTCCTAGAGCCTTTCTCCCAGGTAAGAGCAGGAGGCAATGGAGCACAGCTGGTTGCTGGTGGGCTTTTCTTGATGCCAAATTTTGGTAGAGACAAGAATGACTGCTGCTGCATTTGTCCCCCTGCTCCCTGGTTGTTGACAGCAACATTTGGGCTCTTCCTGTAGCTCCTGAGCTGGCCAACCTTGAAGGGGCAGAAGAAGAAGACCCTGAGCTGCTCATAGACAACCAGAGCTGGCTGGACGGGAGGAGTGAACAGGAGGTGGAGAAAGATGCTCAGCCAGGCCCCAGGCGTCGGGCACGGCAGCTCACCGAGGAGGACCTGCCCATCAACGACTACGTGAGTGTGGGAAATCACACCCTGGGGCACACGGTCCTGGGATATCCTGGCCATGCTCCTGGGGTACCCTGGCCATGTTCCTAGGTGACCCTGGCCATGCTCCTGGGGGTGTCCTTATGCTCCTGGGGTGTTCTGGTCATGTTCCTGGGGTGCCCTGGCTGTGCTCACAGGGTGTCCTGTCCATGCTCCTAGCGTGTCTTCACCATGTTCCTGGGGCGTTCTGGTCATGTTCCTGATGTTCCTGGGGTATCCTGGCCTTTTTCCTTGGGATGGCGTGTCCATGCTTCCAGGGTGCTCTGCCCATGCTTCTGGGGTGCCCAGGCTGCCCTCCCAGGGTGTCCTGTCCATACTCCTGGGGTGTCTTCACCATGTTCCTGGAGAGCCCTGCCTGTGCTCCTTGGGATGTCCTGTCCATACTTCTGGCATGCCCTGGCCATGTTCCTAGTGTGCTCTGCCCATGCTTCTGGGATGCCCAGGCTGCCCTCCCAGGACACCCCATCCATGCTCCTGGGGTGTCCTGGCCCTGTTCCTGGG